GAGTAATTATTTGCCCTAATTTAAATGTTTTAAAACATTTCACTTAAATTTAAATTAATGAGTAGTTTTGTACCAATTGGTATATTCGTATCACTTTTATAGCATTTTATTTATTTATTGTGATTTTTATATGGATTCTTTCAGAAAATTTTTATTGCCCAGAATTATACATATATTTAAGCATATATAGTAACTTAATTGCCCCCAGACATTTTGTAAAATTCTGCAATAAGTCTGTTATACTTTGTTCCAAAAATAGTGAGAGGCAAAATTGCTTACGTGTCTATAAATCACTCAAGTAAATTAGAGATAAAAACAGATTAGGAAGTGTCCATGGAATACTTTTCGTTTACACCATCTGTTAAATAAACTTAAAAGTTACATTGATAAAAGATGGAACTGAATAATGTATTCACCAGTTTATTATCAATTCTTTTTGACTGGCGTAGTTCCTACCCCTTCGCGTGTTGTGACGAGTTAAACTGGACTTGACAATGTGAATCATCTGATATGCCTCTCCCATTACAACAACTTAAAACAACTTTGTATTAGAACACCTGTTTGAATAATTAATACGTGAGAAACGATACGAGATCTAGTTATGATAATCTTGTAAAGGAAAGCAAACTTTAACTATCGAGTTATTATTCCATCTCTGTCAGTTTGAAATAATAAATAATTTGATGTCAGTATCAATTTGAGTAGCTTTTCCCCACGCAGTTAAACTGCAGATGACGAGATATTACCCGTCTGTCTCCTTTCATAACGAATGATCGGTTTTAAGTAATGATTTTAATTCTCAAGTACACAATGCATAATTTCTTTTACATTCTCATCTCATTACTACTTTCCCTTTTTCATTAAAATTGCCTCTATATGTTCCTTTAAGCTTGTTTGAAATCTTAAGCGAGCTTTGAAATCTGTAGTCTCTTTTGAAATACTTAGATCTGTATTTTTAATTGAATGACTGTAGTTTGTTCTAAAATAAGCACAATATTTTTTTCGTTTCAAGATTTCTCTCATCGTTCTCTGTTCTTTCTGCTTGCAGTTATTATTTTATTACTACTGTTGTTACATTTTGGAATGTATCATCGTAAAGATAACTTACGAAATTTTCTTCAGATTAAAATCTGTATCATCAGTTATGTTACCGCAGACCAGGGTGCTAAGAAATTTCCTTATGAAACAAACGCTGATATTTAATGATTTTTATTAATTTTTAATAAAAGTCAAAAGATCCATACCGAAGTATATAACCTGTCACGTTTGAAACATTTATTATCTAATAAAGTGCTGTAAATGATTAGATTATGAATATATTATAATTAAATTTATTATTAGCTATTCAACTAAACATATCCCTTAAAGGTATAATTTCTTCAGAAATTCTTTTACAATTTTTTTAATTGCTAATTATTTTTAAATAACAATTATAATTTAAAAGGTAAATGTATGGAGCATCGAATGGTAATACTTTGAGAATTCGATAATTTCCAGGCCATACGTAAAGGGATACATAAAGTTTTTGTTTTATGCAACATAGTAGCAACATATGATAGAGCAAGAAGTAATACTAGATGAAATTTGTAGAATAACGTGACAAAAACTACGATATTGACTTTGTCGTAAAACTGGGAAATTCTCTTCTTTGTCATTAAGGTTATAACCATCAATTGAATCTTAACTTACTCAGTTAGATAGAATGATTGGAATATTCAGTTTTTTTTAAATTTATTCTAAAACTTCTTCCTATAAATTAACGGCATAAAATTCATAATAATAAATATGGTTTTCAAGGCTTTAAAATGGCGATAAACAACTTTCCTTAATTGCTTTGAAATCAATATCAACCTTTTGATCGTTATACCATTATCTAAATGACAACTTTTGTCAGCTTAAACTAATATACAAAATACGATATTAAGACTTACGAAAGGCACCTATAATTGAAAAGCAAGATGCTGAGTTTATATCGCTATTGTATAGTATTTATTATCAAATTTAATAAGTCCTAAAGTAAATATTCATATTCAAAGAATTTATGCTTTGTGTTAAACTAAAAATTAAACATTTCTATAACTAAAGAAATCAAATTAGGGAAAAAACTTTCACTTTTTTATTTTCACATGACGTTGATGGGATTTTAGTAGATAAATTCCTTGTGTTTGAAAATATTAACTACAGTTGTGTACTTATTCGATATTAAAAATTATCGTTTGTATTATATATCAATGATGTTTGTTTGTATGATCGCATCGTACGGCGTTTTAGAGATGTCTGTTATGTTACCTCTAGTGCTGTATGTTCAGCTCACAGTACTTATGCCTAAAATACCTTATGCGTAGGTTAATGATACTGTTAGTGTAAGTGTCTATATTATATGTTCATCCTGCAGTATCCATGCCTGAAATGTTTCATGTTTAGATACCATCTATCTACAAAGAGCAAATACTATTCCTTTGTATGTCTTAGCAACATTATGCAACTAGCCTTTGTTTGGCATTATATGCTTTTAAAATTTCTAAATGAACTCTCGATGCGGTGCACTTGGAGCACGAGGAACTGCTTAACCTAGATACTTGGGGGCTCCAGGCAATACCCGAACAATCTATAAAAATTCATTTCTGTAAATTTCTGAGTTTGTCAATCAAAATTCATTTAATTCGTTCAAAATATAAAATAAGTGAAAATTAAATTCGAAATTCAAAATTCGGGCTGTTAGTGCATACGTTCGGTCGAACGACTGCATGTCTGGAAACTTTGGTGACACTAAGTGCCATTTTTCCGCAGTGCGAGTAATATTCATACATGGATATACATTCTTCATCATTTAATAATAAAGATGAACACAGTTTTCAAGCTTTGATTAAAAGACAAATTACTCTCCTTGAAAACAGGATATAGGTTTTCAGAAAATTTGTATGCGGAATATAGAATCAACAGAAATTGCACGTTGACAAGTTTATTTTTTGCCCGTACATCACTCTGCATTTTAAGCAGTTTCCTTTACTTTTGCATTTGTCTCAAATTATTTATTTGCTTGTTTTACTTCAACTGGAACTCATTTAAAATGTGAGATATCATCAAGCATACATTTGTGCACGCTGAGTGATTCATTTCTGAAATTAAAAAGAAGAACGACAGATCAAGGAAACGAAATCTTCTCCAAACAATTACGTAATTTTGGAAAATAAATCACAGAATTTTCAATATAATTTGAAATTAAGTCAATTATCTATCTACATTAATGTTCTAAGTGTTTTCATAAAAATCATTAAAAATGTATTTGCTCTTTGAATTTCGGAAAAAAATTTGAAACAACACTCAAAAATTCCTTTACATCAAATTACCATGGGCAGAGAAATATTAAGGCTGTATGATTAGATTAGACTGCCTAAAGAAACAAAAACAATAAAATGCTTAAAAATGAGAAAAAAACTAGAAGATTTTGATGGTTTAATATACTTTTCATATGAACATTTATTTTAATATATATATAATTTGGTGTGAAATACGTAATATATGGCATAAGATACGCAATATACGGTGTGAAAAATATCATTTATATATTATATAATGCTTCAATATTCACGAAATTTGTCTATTGGATATATGGTAAATTAAAAATGCATTTTAAACTGCCTCAATTAGACTACATTAGTCTGCATATTTCTGAAAATAAAATAAGGATTTAGACTTATGACATGTGCGTTTATTGTTTTTAGATCTTTAACTTATTAAGCAATAACATATTGATCAAATTTAAAAGAAAATTTATGATCTTTCAAATTATTAACTATTCAGAGTCATTTTTAACGATGGTAATCAAAACCTTTGACATGATCCGGTATATCCCAATTTAATTTTAGTTTAATAATCTGTCTAGGTTAACTGCTTCCTCATGAACAGATCACGTTTCAGGAAAGCAAATCTTATTAAAACTTCTATGTTCTTTTTCATTTATATTCTGGTTGCACTCAACGAATAATCGTATATATTCCTTATTATAATCGTGAGAATTTTATGTTCTCACATTCTTTCAACACCACAATAATCATCGAATCACCATATGTATTTAATATTATACTAATCAAACACAGTTTAATCTAGCAAGATTCTGAATCTCTGTCCTAAATTATCTTTTCATCATCAGTTATTTTTTGTGGCATTATTTTAGAGCTAACATTAAAAATCATTTTAATAAAAGGAAGTTAAATATCCAACGATTGCATTTAAATATGCTTCTAGCAAAATTTACCATAGTCAGACAGCTTTTGCTATATAATAATTTTTGAGTATAGCTGTGGCATTGCTGAAACTTGATGGTACTAAGCAATCAGCCAATTTGTAGGCTGATTTTTCTGCAGTAAATTCATATCAGTAACTATCATATTACAACCATTGATTTACATAAATTCCTCTGAATACCATTCTTTTACTTTTCGCCTTCCCAAGTAATTTTTAAATGTTTCAAAATTAATATTTAATATTTAAGATACAATTCTTCGCTCATTTTACTTAACTGCCTTTTTATCATATTTTAAACTGAAACCATGTATAGTAACTTTAAAAGGAAATGCGAAAATTTAAGGGAAAATTTAAAAATAAGTAACGATTTAATTTTTTTCTTTTCGTTTTTATTTAAACATTGTTTACTGTGTGTTAATATTACTTTTAGGGACTATTATATGAATGTGTCGGAAGGTAATTTGTAGTTTGTATATTAATATTATTATAAAACTGAAGTATTCATAAAATGGATTAATATGATAATTAATGTTCATATATTACATCTTATTTTAAATAAAAAATACCTTTTACTTTACATACACAGTGTACAAATCTTCAGCTAGAGTAATTATTCTTATTAAAATCTAATTATTTTATCCATTGTAAATGTTTTTGTTCACTAATGTCACATCATTTTAATTTGAATGAAATATTAAATAATATTAAAAATAATTATATGATCTGATTTGGTATTTTCTTATTCCTTACAGATTAAAAAAAGACAGTGAAGATTGATGGTCAAGGATACAGAATGCAGAAATTTATCTTACCGCTTTGTTTTAACCGTTAAAGAAATGTTCTTGAATGTTTAGTTCTTCTTCTGTTGATTTACTGTACTTTTTAATTCAAATTTAACAATAAAAAGCAATAGAAAGTTCATTCTAATGTTTTTAGTCTTTTATTTTTGCTACTTTTGCTTTTCGAAAGAACAGTGCAAGGAATTTATGCCATTCTTTAAATACGAATATATAGATAATAAACAAATATGTTCTTAAAATAAAAACACGCATAAATAAAATAAGGAATACATTAGAAATAGCACAAGAGATGAAAGAGAGTTAATTCGCGTTTATTTATAAAATCAGACAAAACTGAACCTTCTTGCATTGGCTAGCAGAGTTTTCATTAAATAATTTTAAAATTGACCTGTCAATGAATCAGTGAAAATGAATATATTTTTATTAAAATTAATCCTAATCTGATTTGAATTCTGTTCAAAATTTGATATCTTAATGTTATAATATCTAAGTAAAAACTAAAGGTTTATGAGCATTTCAGCATTGTGTGAATTGTGTTACTTTCTTCGTTGAAATTAATATCAGCTTCAGTGAACATGCAACAGATCATTTTTGTTAAGACACAATAACACGCCGAATAAATACTAATTCAGAAGTCAAACAACAAAAATCATCGTTATATTTACAAAATTTTCACAGGACTAGTTTCGATGGTTTTACCAAACCACCATCCTCAGCTGCAAAATTTGCGGTTTTGCAGCTGAGGATGGTGGTTCGGTAAAACCATCGCAACTAGTCCTGTGAAAATTTTGTAAATATAATGCCGATTTTTGTTGTTTGACTTCTGAATTAGATCATTTTTGTGTTCTTAAAAGCGAGCAAATGGAATTGAACACGGATAGCTGTAAATCTTCTTTCATTAAGAATGGCGCATATCCCAATTTCAGGAATCATGTCCGAAACGAGTTCAGTTGTTGATTTCCTGGATCGCGGATTAATAGAAATCTTAGAAGCCTTGTAAATCTTAGAGGCAATCAGATGGGTCGCAAGAATTCTTAATCTCAGCCTGCTACATTTCTTCCTCTGAGCTTTTGTTAAAAAAAGAGTTTTATAATGACAAACTGACAGTCTTAACAACTCAATGAAAAAATAAATGATTGCTAAAAGTATTAGGTAACGTTTACCAGTTAATGAAGACACAAATATGGTTATATTGTATTTCACGTCTTTTTTCATCAATAACATGAGACAATGTAAGTGTTTTTGACTATATTAGTAGTATTTACGATGTTACTACTTGAGACAAAACGCACTTTTCTTTCGGGTTACGGTTTAATAAATGAAGTTTTATGTATTTAGTAATTCTGTTTGATTTTAAAAATTTCCTGTCTTCCATCCGGTTTAATGTCGTTTTCCTCTAAGCTTAAAATGTTTGGTGTATTTTAATTACTCGAAAATTTTCCCCTGTACGATCATATTGGTTCGCTCTGCTTCAAAATACCAATATTTAATAGTTAGATTTAAGAAAACTGAAGGAATTTGTCTTAGCTAATAAATTTTGCTGAAGTAATTGGGGAGGGGGTAGTAAGGTAACCTTAGTTTAACGTGTGAATTTAATTTTATATAAAATTGAATTATTTAATTAAATTAAAATTTAATTCAGTCGCTTTATGGTTAAATAAATTGCAGTGATATTTTATTCATAATAAGAAATTAAAGTAATTAACAGATTTTCATTTTTAACACAAATTTAACTTACATTAACAAATTAACTTACATTAACAAATTAACATTTAACTTACATTAACAAATTTACTTAATTGTCAAAATTAAGACATTACATAATTAAGGGATTCTTAACACTTGATGCTTTGTTTATATGCATGCATTCAAAAAGATATCACTTCTTGTAAAATCTACGACGGTTATGTCTCAGAAAGCTGAAATTGCAGAATATAAGAAATAACAGTAGGCAATAAAACATGGATAACTAGTATTAAAGATAATAAAGGGAAAATTAATCTTTCAATAATTAAATTGGAACCTGAAGTACCATAGTGAATTTTCAATTATCATTTATTTCTAAATTAGTACATACTTTAACTTTCGAACAATAATAAAATGGTGTAAGTTCTTTGCTAGGCTAACCGGAGATGATCATTTCGTATCGTATATTTTATCAACTGCATTAATAATATAAATATTTACAACAATTATCAACTAGATATAAACAGTAACTAATCAACTACAGTAACTAATTAGTATTAACAAGTTACGTTGTCTTTCATTAAAAACAATTTATCATCGTCAGCACTACGGAACACATGAACATGAGACAGCAGAGTATCATTAATGTATCGTTGGCCAGTCATAGTGCCAGCTGTAACCACATGTAGGGACCTGAGGCCATTGATCGTAGTGCTGACCCATGCAATGATAATGCATTCAGTATGTTCATGTCTTCTGTAATCTAATGATAATGCTTCAAAGGGTCATAGCGTACTCAACATATGAGTACACACGTTATGTATATATGCTACCGTATCCATGCTTTTGCATACACACGTTGTAAAACATGGCAATGTATTATCCAGTGTCTAACTTTAATTAGCTTTATTTAGCCACTGTATGAAGTACCAAATTTGTATGTATGTTTATATATTAGTATATTAGCACAATGAACACGTATGGTTATCTAGATAAAGGTGGACGTGGCGCTATACCGATTAACCGTATTGGTAGAGGGGTGGTGCCCACGTCCTCCGTCGCATGTCGCATATATAGGTTCTTTCCAAGAAATTTTCTAGACAATAAGCAGTAGAACTCTGAAGCCACATCAGTTGGAGTCTATAATCCGACAACAAACTGAAGCTACTCTCATCTAAGAATAGTATACAAACCCAGTTCTATTGAGTTCAATTACGATGCTCGCTTGCAATGGTACTATAATGCAATTACGATACCATTGGAAACGGCCAATATATTGCTGTCTGGACAATGGAATGCACACAACAGAATGACGGGAATATAGTCCTCCTTGATGCAAATGCCAGGCTACCGTTTTGGGGGAAGATTTTCTTGCTATTAGCAGCAGGTAACTGATTTGCTACTTCAACAGCTGTGCTGCGCCGGTTCTTTTTGTCTCTACTACAGAAGTTGCCGTGTGTGTCACGTACTGAGCCACGCTTGGATAGCGCTCCGTCGTTTTGATCTACAGCAGCGGCAATAATCGTTCTACGAACGCAAAAGTAGTTGTCACGTAATAGCGTATACCCTCAGGAGTACCTGGATATCAATTTTATGCGTATACGACTATTAGTTCGTTAACTGTGGATTTTACAAATTTTGAACATTAATCAGCGTTCCTTGACGCCATTTTCGACGTGAATTCCATCTTCACAACTGCATTAGGAAGCCATCTGAAGTCGCAGCAGTCCAATACTGGTATCATTGGAAAGAGGATTACTTCAGCTTTCTATTAATAATCTCAATCGGCAAACTGGATGATGAATTAATTATAATTAATTTACTAATATAAGGTAGCGAATTTTCGCTCAGCAAGCACTTTTCGACCGTTGGAGCAACCGTTGAAGGAAATCGTTCCGCCCCTCCCCCCCGCGAGCTGCAGGAAGTTCGCGAAGGTCATTCACAACGGCGAATTTTTATCAAGTGGGTCATTTTATTCAACGTAGTAATTAAAGAACAACTCGACGCACCAATCTGGGACCAACGCCATTACTCATACTTCACCTTCGCGGACAGAAGTTTCCAAATTTGGTGTCATTCCGATAATTAGATCCGGAGATACATTTTTTAGCAGAATTCAGTGCAGTGTAGTGTTTACATAGTGCAAGTGTGTGTGTCAAAGTTAGAAATAAGTAGCAGAATTCAGTGCAGTGCAGTATTTACATAGTGCAAGTGTGTGTGTCAAAGTTAGAATAAATAACAGAATTCAGTGCAGTGCAGTGTTTACATAGTGCAAGTATGTGTGTCAAAGTTCGAAATAAGTAGCAGAATTCAGTGCAGTGCAGTGTTTACATAGTGCAAGTGTGTGTATCAAAGTTAGAATTAAATAACAGAAATCAGTGCAGTGCAGTTTTTACATAGTGCAAGTGTGTGTGTCAAAGTTAGAAATAAATAGCAGAATTCAGTGCAGTGCAGTGTTTACATAGTGCAAGTGTGTGTGTCAAAGTTAGAATTAAATAGCAGAATTCAGTGCAGTGCAGTGTTTATATAGTGCAAGTGTGTGTGTGTCAAAGAGAAATAAATAGCAGAATCAGTGCAGTGTAGTGTTTACATAGTGCAAGTGTGTGTGTCAAAGTTAGAAATAAATAGCAGAATTCAGTGCAGTGCAGTGTTTACATAGTGCAAGTGTGTGTGTCAAAGTTAGAAATAAATAGCAGAATTCAGTGCAGTGCAGTGTTTACATAGTGCAAGTGTGTGTGTCAAAGTTGCAAATACATTTACCGTGGATTACAATTATTAGATTACAACTAATTAATATCAGGTGAAGAACAGAGAAGTCTGTCTGCCAAGATACCCAGAGAGGCACAAGTAATTGTGCAATAGTGCTAACAGTGTGTAAAAGTGTGTCAAGTGTTATAAGTTCACCAAGTGTGACGCAAGTGCCATCTCGAAGTGCTAAGTGCTAGTCTTTTGGTGTTCAGCGGCATAATTGCTCAGTGCTGTGTTCCACTCTGACATGACACGTCGACAACTTTATCAGATAAAGCAGGAAATACCTCACAAGATAACTTGCATACGGAGGCCTTATTGACGTCTGAGCTTACACGCGAAGAGCGAATTGCAGCTCTAGCAAGGGACATCAGTCTAATTGCCGACACTTATCGAGGAGGCAAAACACGTTCTTTCCCAAGTCTTAAGGAACAGGCTCAAGGATTCACTGAACGTGCTAAAAGGGTTGGCACTCGAAGGGCCAGATTACAGTCCAAAACCGCCACACACGAGGGCAGGCACAAAACACATCTACCCTCGTCGTTGCGGCTTAGCGCACTTCCAACATAACGCAGGACCAAGTGATTCAGCAGCACCAAGCCCTTTCACTGACGTAGAAACAGCTGTAATTCCCCAGTTCCCATCCCAAGATCATTTGCGAGGCAGCAAAGCTGATTCAGAAGCCCA